TAAGACTAACTGCAGAGAGTCTGAAAGATGTGCTCACGTGTAAAGGTCACTGCATTGCCACTGGATCGTTATTTTACTTACTTTTACTTACTTTACTAACCCAGTAGTTAAAATGCATGTTTTCTGTCTTTCCCAGGCCTTTCATCTTCAATTGTCCAGGCAGCCAATAAAGCAGAATAAATGAGAAGCATTCAAAAGTTGTACAGTTTAAGGCTTTCTATCATTATGCAAAATCTATATCATCATTAATCAATTTTTTTCTTAATGAACTTGGGGACTCGTGTTTCTGCTACTAAGTACTCAAAGGAGTTATTAAATTTATGGCTGTCTGGTTCCCCCATCTGTTTCCATAAAAATTTACTGCAATTATTATTTCAGCAGAATTTCTAAACCCTGCCAGACTTAGGAACAGGGAATGCTACTGTAAACATGAGGGGGAGCTAATGGCATATGAGTGGCAAAAAAAATCACTTAAAATCCAGATTAAACCGGCCTTGCCCATAGTTTGCATGAGGGTTAAGGCAGGAAAAGAAAGACTGACAAAATTAGGAGAGCTGGAAAAATTCCTGCCCATCCAGGTCCAGCTGTCCACTGCTGGCGAGGTATTAGGAAAATATTTAGCTCATTTTAGTTTTTCTGAAGCAGGCAATTCCAGAAGCATGTGGGCAGAGGTTTGCAGCAAAGCTGCTGAGCACACAGAGGGGCCATGGGGCACTGGGGTGGCAGCAAGTACCAGTCCTGGGAGGAATTACTGGGAACAGGACGGTGCTGCCTTGTGCCAGAGCCCTGGTGTCAGGGGGTTTCTTGGGTTTGACTACACCAAAGCTGTGGCCAGGAGCATTGCTGCCCTATCCCTGGCAGAGATAAACTGCAGAATATAAACCTATGCTTCTGCAAGAGTCTGGAAGGAGCCCTCCACCTTAGAGTGTGCGCACCAGGTGTTTGGGGAGGCTGGTGACAACTTCCTGGGGAAGGACCAGGGTCACACCTTCCTGGTGCCTGGAGCCACGCTGCTCTCCTGCACAGGAAGAACCCCAGGAATTTCACATGTCTGTGGCTGTTTGCAATAAAATGGGACAAACAACATTTTTATGGTCAAAGGGTTGTGTTTTGTTCCTCATCTGCCACGATATGCTCCTGTGGTGCATCACAGCCTCTTGGGGGCTCCATGTGGTCATATCATTGAAGTTCCCCCTTCAGATGGCTTCCCTGGCCTCATTATGCACCTGCTTATTATCAAATTATGGGGATCCCTGAGTCTTTATTTTCACTGTATTTATGCCAGGATAAATTTTTGCAGCTGATAAATTCCCATCTGCTTTTATGAACAGGAGGATGGGCTTTTACTTCTTAGGAAGGAAAAGTTGTTGGGTGTTGCCCAAGCTAAAGCAAAAAAGGTGATCCAAGAAGGATTGACTGACTGGAAGGGGTTGGCTCTGGTGTGCCTGAATTGCCCAGAAGGAAGATAATGAAGAGAATGAGGAGAGAAATTGCTTCAATAAATAAACTGGAATGTGTGTGAGACCAATACCACTGGGGGCTGATATATGCCAAGAAGTCTGTTTTTAACATCTGCTCTTCAGCAGCCTTAATATGTTATGACCAGATCAATAAATCTTCTGCTGCTGGTGTCAGACATCCAACAGCAGCTAGAGAGTGGGGAGGAAATAACAATAACACAAAGACTATAACATGCTTACATATTCACAGATCCACACATACAGGCATTTCTGTGCATGTGCATTGTTGTACTGGTGGAAGGATTAATGTGAAATCAATGCAAAATGGTGCTGAAGTAGCCCTGACAAAGAGGAGCCATGAGTGGCTGATATTCACTCCCTGCAATCTCTTTCTCTTCAGAGCATAACCTAGAAGGTTGCTGTGCTGCTGGCAGCTCATATCCCACTCAGTGATTCCAGAGATGCAGTTTGTTCCTTATTCTACCACAATTAAAAGGCTTTTCATCTCTTGCCAAGGCTTTTATGTGCTGCAAAGGCTGAGGGAAGAAGGTGAGGTGGTGTAGGCATAATGGCCATTTTTAAAAAGCATTCTTACCAGCCTGCAGCCATCAGCAAGGAAGGGCAGAGAAAGAAAAGCAGGGAACAGAAAAGAAGATTAAAGGAGGAGCTGAGCAAAAAAATTTTGGCCAGCAAGCTGCTGTGGTGCTGGCAGAGTCTACACTTGCAGCAGGATGAACACAAGTGTTTGTTCTCTCCTCTGCTTCAGGGTGTTGCCCCTGCAGTGCCTGAGACAAGCCCCATGTGGCTGCTCCCCAGCCTCCCCAGCTTGCCCTCCAGCCACAGCTGGACTTGGGCTTGGGAGAAGCTGAAAATAGGGCTGACCAGGAACATCTGCTGTGCAGGTGCAGTCAGATGCTACCTGTGCAAAGTTCTGCCAGGCCCACCTTCTTCCCTCGCACTGGAGAGATGTTGGAGAGCACCCACAGCATTTTCTTGCAGGGAAGAAAGGATGTGAGAAACCAGATCTCTTTCTTCACTCAATTTACTTTCCAAGCCCAGGGGAAGTCTGCTGAAGGACTTGGCACAAAGATTGATGTTTGGCCTATGGCATTAAGCAGAACTTGTTCATTTAAGACAGGACAGTGGCTTGGAAGAATAGAAGGTTGTGACCTCTCTGATGCAGCAGCAGTTCTCCTGACAGAAGGTGATAAATAAAAGAGTCAGTGCCACAGAGTGTATCTGAAAGCTTTGCACTGAGCAATGTGAAGAATGCCTGCCATGACCCCAAGAACCTTTACATCAAGAAACCTCCTGGGCACATGGGGGTAAAAAGGTCTTGTTTTAAGTGCTGCCATGGCTGGGTTCTGGGGGATAGCAGTGAGTCCAAAAGCCTGCTTCATTTACTGCAGATGTCTGATTTTTTTCCCCTCAATATGGCTCCAATGTGCTTAATTTAATGACAGACATGGACCTGGAAAGTGAGGAACTTTCAGCTTTTGAGTTTATTTAGCCACTAAACAGAAAACCATCTGGAAATGGTAGATTTCACATTCTTTTTATTTCTGTAAAAATAGCAGGGTTCTTTCAGAGAGCCAGGTGCTCTGACGGGTGTTACTGTAATAACTGCTCACAATCCAGTCATCCCTGTATTACAGCTGGAATATGTAACTGCGGCACCTACTTCTTCCAGGAACCAGGATCAAAGTTTTTGTAGAATCACAGAATGATTTGGGTTGGAAGAGACCTTAAATATCTAGTTCTAACCCCCTTGCCACGGGAATTTTCAGGGATTCATTCCTAGGACAGAAAACCGGCCTGCCTTAGACTCCAGGTGGTCAGACACCCATACCAGGGACTGGTGAGGTAGTAATGCCAAAGGAATCCACTTGTTTGATCATTCCTGATATGAAACAAACAAGTGTTTGCTTCATAATAAGCACAATACAGCCCAAACTAAAGCAAAGTACTGATAACCCACCAGACTACCGTAAAAATTGTAAACTGGAGACAGAAAACCAAGGAGCTGCCTTAAAAATCTAAGGAGGTTGAGAAATGCAACACACTTGGGCTCTTTCTATTTTTGCCTGCAGAGCTTTGAGCTTTTCACTCAAAATGAAAATGAAGACTAAATGAAATGAAAACTGCTCAACATCACCTTTCTGTGGTGGCTGAGGCAGCTCAGGAAAAAAATCACAGCTTTGTAGGAGAGCTGTAAAGAATTTGCTGGAATTGGCAATGGCACTTTGATGCCAGTCACGGTGCTTGCTGTGGGCAGAAGTTACAGCCCAGCTCTGCACAGTGCTTCCCACCTGCAAACATCCCCAACAGTCTGATGGAGAGGAGCTGAGCTGGATGTGAGGCACCATCACATTCCCAGCAGCTACATCCAAAACTCATCCCAAGTGACGCGCTTGCAGCCAAGGAAATCTTGGAATTGGAGCCTGCCTGAATTTTCTGGTTCTGCACACACTGCAGTGCTCGCCAACATTCACCCTTTCTTCCTCCTCTAGAATCACATTTCCAGTAATTCCAAGTGTGGTTTCCTGCTGGGTGAGGATTGTGTGAGGACTCTGTGCCAAAATCCTCTCTGCAACCTTTGGAACCACTGATTAATTGAATGCCCCTTGCAGAAAGGGGGAGAGCCAGCGAGACACAAATGCAAAACGTAAAAGCCTTTGGGATACCGGTGAAAAATGGCATTTTCCATTCCAGGAGAGGCAGCAGAGCTCTTGGGAAGAGGCAGGAGCAATGACCCTGGCCGGGAGGGTTTGTTACTTTTGCTGTGAACTGCTCTGGCTCAGGGGATCATTCCTGGCTGGAAGATCCCATGGATGCTGCGAGAACCACTTTTATTTGGAAAAGGAGATACTGTTTATTCTGCACAGGGTGCAAGGTGAAAGTTTCCACAAATCAAGCGCACCCCAAGGGATAAAATGTTACATCTATTATATAGTAAAATTTACATGAATCCGCCTAACACATATTCCCCATCTCTCTAATGCATATTTATTTGGGTAATGTAATTTTACGCAATGCTGGAAACACAAAGTTTTATTGTAGAAGTTATCTGACATCATCAGCCACGTTTACAAAAGGTGAGAAAATTCATCCTGGACACAGAAGATTCAGCTTGAAGACATCAACTGAGGAAAACCCTCAATTTCAGGATTTCAGGACTCTTCCCTCAGGATGTCATTTTTTTCCAGAGCACACGGAAAAACTGCTTTCCAAACGGACCCCAGACACGTCTGGCGCACCCACCAGCACCTCAGGGGCGCCAGGAAGAGTCGGAAGCGCCAGTGTCGGTACCGCACAGTAACCTGTGGTGCCGCTAAGCACAATTAACTAATTAACACTCGGCGCTAATTACAGCGCTGCCCGCCGTGCGCAGGCGCCGGGCCGCGCGCAGGCGCACTGGGAGATGCGCGATCACGTGACCGCCGGACCGGGGCCGGCAAGATGGCTGCGCCCATGTGTGCGCACGGGGAGTGCTCGGAGCGCCGCTGAGCCCGGCCCCGCTGAGNGAGCCCGATCCCGCCGAGCCCGGCCCCGCCGAGCCTCATCCCACCGAGCCCGGCCCGGGCCGCCGGCCCCGACCGCCACCCCTTCATGGAGCCGCGGGAGTCCTGGGCGGCCTTGGCGGTGAGTGAGAGGGCTCAAAACACGTTGTGTTACCCGGTGTGTGCAAGAGCCCGGTCCACAAGCAGAGCAGAATAGAAATGTATTTACAGAATATAAGTTTTTTATATAGATAGATAGATAGATACACATTTCTATATAATTTCTATATATATACACACACACACACATATATATACACATATAATATATATAATGCATAAAATACTGATATATTTGTATATATTATATATATAATATATAAATATAAATATGATATATTTGTATTTATTATATACATATAAATATATATAATAAATACTCTATATGTTTTGTATTATATTTAATTCTATATTATAAATTATATATAATTATCAGTTTTATATAATACATAATGTATACTATGAATATACATTATATAGATTTTATTTGTATATTATATATAAATATATAATATTTATACATTATATATTATTTGTATAAATTATATTATATATATTTGTATATAATTTATGTATTATATATTATATATATTTACATTATATCTATTAGTTTATAATTAGTAATATGTATATATTATAGTTATTGATTTCTGTATAATTAATTTCTATATAATTCTTTGTGTAGAAAGGGGCAATGAGTGATCAATCCACAAAGCCAGCACTGCAACCACCAAAATTTTTCACTTCTTCTGCTCTTTAGCAAATAAAAGCATTCATGTTCATTGGCTGCAGGTTACATATGTCCTCTTATTAATTAGTCTCTTCTATTGGTTAATGATTCTCTGGCTTCCCATGGTAATTAATCCACACACTCAGTCTTTCTCTTCCTTTGGGTGGGTGGATTTCCTTCACTGGTGGCTGTGATGTGCCCCTTGCCAGAATTACCTGTTCCCAGTTGGAGCTGGCTCAGCTCATTTGACGAGCTGTCTTTATTAGTTTCTCCCCTTTCTTTGGGGTTCTGCCAAATGCCCATGTAGCCCATAAATTCTGCATCCTTTGTGATCGCTGTTACTGGTACATCCCTCTTCCCAGCATTTGTTAACCTCCCTCTAGGTCTGACATTATTGAAACATGCAGCCCTAAACTTCAGCAATTTCACTGACAAGTGTTTTGGTTTTCTAACACATGGACATCACATGGAGCCTGTTGGTTACTCTCTGTTTCAACAATTAAATCTCCTTTCTTGTTGATTAGGTTTGAAAGTTACAGGCTCTAACATCAAAGAACATCCTGTCTGAGGAAACATTTTACATATTCCACATTTTGCAGATGGCCTGCCTGACCATTGGCAAGGTGATGAGTTGAGCTGAGGGGTGGCCACAGTTTGTGGCTTCAGCAGCCACTCCAGAACCACAGGGAGCCCCTGACCCTGTTTGTGAAACATTTCCCACTTTAAAAGCTGTTTTTCCATGTGTGCTCTCAGCAAGGGGATGGAGCCCCAGACACCACAGCTAGGGGCTCCCTTGGAAACACCCACCCTGTTGGTTCTGTGTGGAAAATCAGGGATGTGGTGCCTTGGCTGGTGTGGGGAAATCTGCAGGAGAGGAGAGTGCAGCTGCCTGCCCCAAAAGCTCTGAGGCACACGGATGTGAGCAGTGAGGTTGTGGCTCGATGCGTTGGAATTAGGTCCCGGTTTTGCTTAATCATTGTGATGGAGTTTATAGTTTATATCCTGAGTTGGAAGGGACCCACAAGGATCATCCATCCCAGCTCCTGGCCCTGCCCAGGAGAGCCCAACAGTCCCACCCTGTGCCTGAGTGGTGTCCAAGCTCTCCTGGAGCTCTGGCAGCCCTGGGGCTGTGCCCATTCCCTGGGGAGCCTGGGCAGTGCCCAGCACCCTCTGGGGGAAGAGCCTTTCCCTGATCTCCAACCTAAACCTCCCCTGGCACAGATCCCAGCCATCCCTGGTTGTGGAGAGCAGAGATTTGAGCTGTCCTTGCACTGCCCTTGTAAGGAAACTGCAGATCCCAGTGAGGTCTGATCCTCCCCCAGCTCCTGGTGAAGGTTCTTTTGATAACACTGCTGTTACTGACAGGTGGGAGAGAAGTTGTGTTCTAGGTGTTTTGTGAACCAAAAGTCATTTTTCTGCAGTTGTTGCAAACACACAGCTATTGTCACCCACTGGCAGGTGCTCTGTTAGCTACCTCATGAATTTAAATGACATTTAAGATACAGAACTTTGAGAACTTAAAGAAGCAATTAGTAACTTTGATTCATGTTTTAACAGATGGCTAGATTAAATCTGATTAAATCTGATCAATGCTATTTTGAGCAGATAAGGATTTTGATGAAAAAGAGTGAAGAAAAATCAATGCATTCAAAATAGCCAACTAGATTAAAAGAGTAATTAACTTATTGATTAAACCTTTAGTAGTAGATAGTGAACACCTCTCTGAATCCTCTGTTACCCTGAAAAAATTATTGGAGTAACACACATGTGATTTGTTTTCAAGCACAGTTAAAAATCTGTCCAGCTGTTTCTTGTGTGCTGATCTATATGAGACAGCCTTCAACCTGTGTTTTCTGAATAGCTCTGCATCTAAATAATGTCTCATAATGGATTAACTCTTGATGTTGTTTTATTTTTAATCAGTTTTCCTGTTTATTTCAGCCTTTTCCTCGTGTTTTTGCAAACTAATTATTTTCTACAATCAGCCATGTCATGGGGTAATTAAAAAAAAACAGAAACCCTGTAATCTGGGTTGGCACATGGAAGAAGATTGAGCCCTAGTTGAATCAACTCTTTAGACTTTCGTTTTATGAATTGTTTGGATGAAAACCTGCCCCTTTTCTTTATGATTTTGAAAACACCTTTATTTAACATGATTTCCAGTGCCTTAAGGGAGTTTACAGGAAAGGTGGAGAGAGCACATGGTGACAGGGCAAGGGGGAATGACTTCAAACTGACAGAGTAGGTTTAGATTAGATATTACAGAAAAATTATTTACTGTAAAGGTGGTGAGGCCCTGGCACAGGGTGCCCAGAGCAGCTGTGACTGCCCCACCCCTGGAAGTGTCCAAGGCCAGGTTGGATGTGACTTTGGACAACCTGGGATAGTGGAAGGTGTCCCTGCCCATGGGGGGCTGGAACTAGATCTTTAAGCTCCCTTCCAATCTAAACCTTTCAATGATTTGACCATTTTTTTCTATAGGCTTTTATTGCCTATAGAACCACCAAAACCAAACCCAAACAAATAAACAAAAACCAGAACAAAACAAAAAACAAACAAAATGAAAACAAAAATACAAGCAAACAACAACTAAAGCCCAACAACAACAACAAAAAAAACCTACCCAAAAACCCCACAAGCTTATTTTAGGCTTTGTTCCTCAAAGGCAATGAGGGAATGTGAACACTAAATGGTTTGCTGGAAAAATGTGAATGTGCTTTCTAGAGATGCCTAAGAGGGGAAGCAGAATTGCTTCAGTCTTTCCTTGATTTTATCTCAACTGCTGGAGGTGTTGGCCATTCTCTGCTGTCTCTTGATAAGTGACATTCACTGTCTGGATTTTCTTTGGAATGGGGAAGTGTTGCATTGCACTATTCAAAACACCAATGTGCTTTAAAAGTTGTGATATTTGTTACTTTTGTTGAAGCCTCCTTGTTAAAGCTGTGGAAATTGTTGAGTTGTGTATAAGACTGGCAGTTTATAAGCTGACCTCAGGAAGGATACAGTCTGCAGTGCTTTGGGTTACTCGTGCCTCTGTTCCTCACATAAGCACCACAGCTTCATCCCTGAGAATACTAATGGGCTTTTCTCCATGGTTTTGTCTTGAAGGCTGGTGGAATTGCTGGTGTGTGTGTTGACTTGATCCTTTTTCCCCTGGATACTGTAAAAACGAGACTTCAGAGTCCTCAAGGATTTAGGAAAGCTGGTGGGTTTCGTGGCATCTATGCTGGTGTTCCTTCCACTGCAATAGGATCCTTTCCAAATGGTAAATTTTCTTGGATTATGCTTTGTTTTCTGTAAGTAGTAATTTATATTACATAGGACATTCATGTCTATGGCTTCCTCTCCCATGGGTGCCTGGATTCTGTGAGTCCATGTCCAGCTGTGAAGAGCAGTTTCTAGAATTCCAGCATTGAGGAAACTTGATCAAGACTGCAGTGAAGGCTGTTGCATGTTTGCTCTGAAAAGCAAACCCAATTCCTTGGAAGCAATCTTGGATATAAGCCTGTCTTTACCTATAGGACTAAAACATTTCTGGGTGCCGAGAAGGGCTTGAGTCTTGCTTGTCCTGGACGCTTTTGTCATGACCCACTCTTTCTTGGCATTAAAAATGAGTGGAATTTCAAAGTGCTTGAACACTGCAGGTGTTTGAGTTAATTGCCCTGGGGACGCTCTGCCCATATCCCTGAAACAATAACACTTAAATTGTAAAAACATCAGGAATACTTTGAAACTAAGGCTTAAAAAAGTAGATACTTTTAGTCCCTGCAGAGAAAAGGCTTTTGAAATTCCTGATGCCTTTGCCCATTTTGTCTTTGTAGGGAGGGATGAAAAAACAGCAATCTGTGCTGTCGGATGTAAATGTTAGGAGAACTTTGCTGACAAATCCACTGACACCTTCAGATGTTTGATGTCCTTCATAAGGTGATATAAAAAAATTCAGTTCTTTATCTTGGCTGCTCTGTTATCTCCTTTTGAGGTGATAAGCATCTTTTGATTAGTAGAAGGCAATTCACACAGCCCTTCTTTACAATTAAAATCTGTTCCCCTGCAAGACATGACATTTTTTTCAGTATTTACATCTCCAAAATCTGCACTGTAGTTTTATCTTTCCAACATATGACTGAAAACTGAAATTATCTTTAGGAAAAGGAATAACCCTTAAGGTGTAAGTGCCTTTGTAGTTGACTGTTGCAGTGAATAAACACAGCTCATATTGCTGTGTTCAGTTTAGTTTTGTGCATTTCTTGTTCACTGCACAGAACTTTTATAAATCCTTCAGAAGCTTGGAAAAAAAATTTATGGAGCTAATTTCAAAATAATTTAACTGACAATAACTAGGAAGAAGTTACTAATAAACTGCTACTGAAACAGTTTTGCACATTGCAGGATAGCAGAATTGTATCAATTTATGCTTTTTGGGTTTGTTTTTCTTTTCAATTAATCAACTGACTTGTTTGTTTTTCCCTTCCTCCCCCCCTCAAAAAAGAACCATCTGTTCAATTCAAACAAGAGACAGTCCCTCTATCTATGGATATGGAAGATATTGGTTTTTCAAAATGTGCTGGACATTCCTGGCTAATTAACACATCTTTCTGTAGCTCACTACTAAGTGTGGCCTGGAGTCCTGACACCTTGGATATTAATGGGAGGTTTGCCAGGGCTAGCCAGAAGTGTAAACTTCTGAAGGAATTATCTCACAGATTCTGTTGATACTGTTGTACTGTTTTGGTGCAAAAATATCCTGGTTTTAAGTACAGCCCTGTGATGGAGGAAGAGTGCAATGATTGTGTGTATTCTTGAATTTCAGCTGCTGCTTTTTTTATCACCTACGAGAATGTGAAATCTGTGCTGCCTCATGGATCTTCATCATACTTGTCCCCTGCAACACACATGGTGGCTGCCTCCCTTGGGGAAGTGGTAAGAAGGAAGTTCATCTATTGTGTGTCCAGGGGAGGAGAGGAAACCATTCAGTTATGGAAACTCGGGTTTGGTGTCGTATCTTTTGAGAATTCTTACAACAGGCTGGTTTTGGCACAGTGCCTTGGGGCTGGGTGTTGAGCTCTAAACACCCCATCCTGTTCCTGCCAGCACTGGCTACCTCTGCTCTCCTGTTTTTGACACAGTGTGTCCTGGCACTGCACTGATAAGATGGGGTGCAGATTGTCTCTGCAGGTCTGAGGTAAGGAAATGGGCTGTATGGAAACAAACAGGCTTTTTCTGGCTCTTTTGCAACTTAAACTTAACTGATGGCATGGGACAAAAAAATCTGTTGTGTCTGTGGTTCCATATTCTGCTTTTATTAACTGACTTCTTTCTTTCCTTTCCCATGGGGGCTTAGCTTAGGTGTATGTTGTTCCCAAGCTACCAGGAGTGTGGAGATGCCATTTATTTCAGCTCAACACCAGGTGCCTCACTCCTACAGCAGCACACTCTGGCTAATTCCCATGGGAAACAGCTCAGCTCTCCCTGCTCTCTGTGGCATCAACTTTGACACCCAAACAATTTTTATTCTTCCATGGAAATGCTTTAGATTAGATTGAGTGAGATTTAGCCAGAAAACTTAATTTAACCAAGTACATGAAGACAGATGAGTGCAGCACCTATAAGCACTCTGGTAGGGGTAGATAGAAGGTGATAGATGTAGGGCTGGGTGGGATTTGTTTGTGTTGTTGCCTCAGGTGGATTCTTTCTGAGCTTGGTTAGTGCCTGTGCCGTCAGATTTTAACTTCTAACTTAAGGCAATGCACAGAATTTATTTCCATGAAGATTCTCTAAAGGCTGTTAGAAATCAGTATGAGGTTATTTACCACCAATGCACAGCCCTAAAACTCCTTGTTTGCCTGATGTGTCATGGGACAGCAGATCCAGGAGGTGTTCTGAGATTCTCAAGTGCTATTGTAGAACCAAGCAAAATGACAATAGAGCTCGTGAAGAGGTGCCAGTGCTTTGCAATAAGATCCACCAGAAGAAAAAGTTTCTTCTTCTGCAATTTATGGTACACTCCCAGTGCCTGTGAGGATCCTGTGAGGAAATTACAGCCAAGTAATTGAATCAGCAGTAGCCAAAGCCCAGCTGACTGCAGATGACTCCTTTCAGGACTTGTTGCCATTTGTTCCCTGGGCTGGTCTGTCACCTTTACAACCCAGGCACTTGCTGCTTTCATGCTGGGGCTGGCAGAGGTGGTGCAGCACAGTTAGAGGAGTTGCTCAGGGCTGTCTCACGTGCTTGGCTCTGCTGCTCTAAGGCCAGAGAAATGTATATGGTGGCCACTGAAATGGCAGTGGCATTATGGTGTGGGAACTGTGATGTTGTAACAGCCATTTTCCACATCACTTCCCTGTTTTTGCTAGCTTTTCTTCTCCTCTTGGAGTGATGGGTGTGAGGAGAGAACAAAGCTCTAAAATAGCTGAGATAGGTATTTAGAGATTGCTGCAACGAATCTGTAATAAAATAGCACAAAGCAAGACCTTCTCATCTATGTTTTATATAAAGTTTTAGTTGATCAATAGAAATTTATAAACTAGTCCAAATTGCATCAGGGCAAAAGTTATAATTACAGTTTTATTGATTAGTCATTAAGTTTTAATCAGGGCATAACCACTGGGACTATTATTTTGTCAGTAGTTTTTTTGATAATGTGTACTTCTATTTTAGCATTTCTGAATTAAATTGCATTTAAATGTGAAGCATTAAAGCCAAAGACACTCACATTAGGATTCTTATGGCATATCTTTGCATTTCCACACTGTTTTTTTACAAAACAGAGAAATTAGGATTTAGAGCAAGAAAGTGTTGATGGACTTTTAGGTTTGCTGTTCCTTCACTGGTATGAGTCAGATACCTTCTTGTGCATTAATAAAATGTATGTGCAAAACTTAAAACATGTGTTTGTGCTGACTAATCTGTGTTTTGAATGTGACCTGCTAAAAATGATAAAATATGTAAAGAGGAAGAGATACAAAGGTTGCTTCAAGATATGATAAAATATATGTGAAAAATCTGTCAAATGGGAACTTTTAGTTTTTATAACAGCCACTCTCCTGTATTGTTTACAGTCTGTGGAAATTCATAGGAGAAACAGTCCCCTGGAACTGGTTTGCTCCATTTTTTCCAGTTCCAGGCTGGGAGAGACAAAGCCAAGCAATAAAAAGGCAGAGGTTATAGCAGCATTTTATTTTTTTTTTGTTTTTTTGGTTTTTTTTTTTCCATTTAGGCAGGAGGAATATAGAAAGCTAATCTCATCTCCCAGGCTGAGATAAAGAAAAGTACATACAAAATCTGACCCTGTTAAGCGTAATTATTTTTTCCTACAGCTGAATCTTGCTGTGTAGGGACTCTGAATATCCCACAATACATCAAAAACTGCTTACAAAGGCACATCCAAAACTCTAGAGGGCAGATACATGGTGTATCATCTCATCAAGGAAGGTGAAGGTTGAAGAATACGTGAGTTGCCAATGGGGGAAAAGCCCTTATTGTACCACTTGTGCAACCAAAATCTGGAAATAGAAAAAACACACTGCATCCAGGACTCTGGAATTTTTTGTCTTGACTCTGCTTTGCCTTGTATGTTTAGTCTGCCTGTATCTTTACAGTGAGCTGCCAAATGTGCTTGGAAAACATGATATCATCATAGGGAGTGGAAAGGAAAACCAGATGTTCTGAAATTTACTTTTAATATTCTAAGGTGGTATAAGTAACTCCAAGAAGGAGCAGCATTTTTAAGCTCCTAGTGCCCATTTTCAGGAGTAACCAGGTGCTCCTAGTCTTGCAGGCCCAGAGTTAACTATAGCTCCGGATTGATTTGTACAGATTTTTTTAATTTCAGTTTAATATGAGTGTGTGTATTGATTATGAAATACCTTGCTAAAAACTGAGCCTCTCCCACCAAGCTCCTGCAAATGTGGTTTCATGGGACAGGTTTAAGATTGTCCCATTTGACCAATGAGGTTTCCCTCAGGAGTGCCCAAGTGGTTGGGTTCAGCACGGCTAATTTGGATTGAGCACAGGTAATTTTACATCCCACTGTCTTTTCCATGGAGGTGAGCATAAAGTTGTTTGGCTCATGTTCCAGAGAAGGGAGCTGACAACAGCCCTTTCCCATTTAATATTTACATATTGTTATGGTTGTGATCTGAGCTTTGCAACATATTAGTGAAAGCTTTGGGTTGTTGCCTGTAAGTTGTGGTTTCACACTTACCTTGCTGACCTTTTGTTTTTGATTGGCTCTTTTTGATGACATTTTCTTTCTTTTTTTTCTCTACTTTGCAAGACAGCAAACCACCTTGACTTTCAGAGAGAAAGTGTAGGGGAGGACTGAGGACCAGCATGGGAGCTGTTGGTAATGACCATGCTCTGGATCTTCACCAGCTGAAGTCATTGAGCTGCTTTTGTCCTTGTGCAAGTATCTAGAGTACTTTAGAAGTCTGGAGATCTCAAAAGTTCAAAAATTTGTCATTTCATTGGGGAGAGGGGATCATGTGACTCCACAGGGCAAGGTGAGGACAGGTATTTCAAGGTGAAATTCCAAACTCACTTGGAATTCCAGTGCATTACCACTTGAGGTACTTCTGTGATAAGAGCAAAGTGTGTGGTTCATCTGTGATTAGCATCTGACCCTTCGTATTAATAACTTTGGAATTTTTTTATCTCCTGTTGGGATGTGTCAAATACGAAAACTTAATGCAGGAATTATCTTTCTGGGGAGTTCATTTACCTTTCACTACTAGTATGAACTTGTTTCTTAGTAGAAGCAAGCTCAAATGCAAGCAAGTTTACAGTTTTACAAATCATGATTCTGTAGAATGACATTTTAAGTGTGCTTTTATTTCAAATAAAAGAGGAAAGTATATGTTTTATTTTATGCCTGGGGGGTTTCTGCATAAAAAGAGGCATTCTAGACCTGAGGGCCAACACTGTTGTCTGTTGCTGTACACGAATCAGCCACTTCTTCCCTTTGCCCTGGCAGCATTGTTTGAAACAGTTAACTAGTTTCAGTTTAATAGAAGAGCAAGAATCTCCAAAAGTGTATTGGTGTGAATTCCATGAAAGTAGCTGGCTAGGTCAGAGAAGAAAGTTGTTATTAATACCTGTTCTGAGGAAAAAGCAGGAGCATGAGTCAGACAAATCCTCAGAGTAATGGAATGAAAGTCTCCAGCAGGATAATTGGCCAGGGCTTTGCAGCATGGTAAGCTCTAGAAAATCAGCTTGCAGGAGCCCAGTCTAACAGAGATGAGACAGCCACTCACATCAAACATGAAGTTAAGATTTTAGTATTTCACCCTCCAAAACTTGCAGTGTTGGAAGATGTGACTTTTCAGCTCAGCAGGAAAGTTGGACACTCTAGGGAGTGCTGATTTTAGTTCAGCAAAGAAGCAGTGTGGTACTTGTGTCTAGACTTGGGGCTAATGGCTTTGAATATTTTAGCTATCCTTTTTCTTAAAACTGAACTAATAAATGGATAAAACTATTTGCATTTTGTGCTTTGCATTCTAGCTCCTCTGAACCAGTGTAGTATGTGCTGGCAGATCAGAGTATTCAAAGTAGTGTGCAAATGACAGCAAAGTGTGATGGGACCTTTCCCACAATGCTGAAACTTTTTTCTGTTTCCATTGATCAGTGCCATTGATCAGTGTCATTTTAGCTGTGATTGTGCCTTTTGTGCTTGCAAATCTGGCTGCACTCAGGTTTGAGAAAGGCAATACTCCGACCCTGGCAAGAGGAGCAGTGGTGGGGAGTGCAACAACGTAGGTGGTCTTTTGAATTAATCATAGTTTGAAATATTCATAAATTAATCTGTGTGAAGGCAGGTCTGCAATACAGATGCTGTATGATTTTTGCCAAATCCTTTTGCAGAAGCAGTGGTTAGGAGATGGTTGGGAAGGTGAGACTGCTGCCTTTGAGAGGTAGTGGAGAAA